GCCCCTACTCAAAGAACCGGACCACTCTCTAGCCGCGTTGGATGTGGAAAAGAGAGACCCCTCCATACATGACTTCCAAAGAGATGACTTTCTGCAATTGACTCAGGGCTGCCAGAGATTTCCAAAATCTCCCCTGGGGTGGGACTACCACGATTCTCTAAAGGCAGCACTCCAGCCTTGGGTGGAAAGGCCCAGACATAATATCCCGGAGTCCCTGACTTTGATAGAGGTGGATTTAATGTGTTTTCAGTCAAACTCAATTTGGTTCTCAGTTCCTTTTGAAAGATCCCTAGAACACTGTGTTATGGTGTTCAATGAGCCAATATTGCCTGTGTTGTTGATTATTTATTTTTATTCTTGGTTGTTCAAGAGCTAGATGTATCATTTTTTAAGGAATCATTTCAGAAATTTGAAATGTGTTTGTCATAATAAAGACCTGTGTGGGTCAATAGCATCCATCCTCACTACTATGAATGAATAAATGAATAAACAAACAACCAACAATCAAATGAATAAATAAGGGGTTGACAATGCATCCAAATTTCAACCTAACAGCTTTCTTTTCTAAATGAGAAAGGTTAAGGAAAACAGACCCTGAGACACAAGGGGAGGGAAATGTTAAACAACTGCACTTGAGAATTCCACTGCATAATTCCACCAAGTAAGTATTACTATATTAGCGATAATTCTCAAGCTGGGTAGATAATATAGGCAGAGAAACAAAATTGGGATGGAAAAGATTATACATTTTATATATGTATAGGTTTTAATCTTCTACAAAATATCTAACAGGAAATATTTAACAAGCAGTTGGAACTTGACTTTGCTGAGGTTACAGGGGGATTAGACATTTGGGAGTCATCAGGATACGTCATGGAAATGGTTGTGTTCTCAAAAGAAGAGCTTGTAAAGGAAGATGAGATAAAAATTAAAAATAAAGTCATAAGAAACAGTAATAGTAAAAGATAGGAGAATAAGGAGAAACTAAACCATGGTAGATAACGAGTAAGCAGAGAGATAGGAAAAGCAAGGGAGATATTTTCATGGAAGGCAAAGGAGTATTTCAAATAAAGAATGAATAGAGGCCACTAGATTTTAATGTAACCTATTGAGATAGTTTAAGCAGAAATGGAAACCAGAATGCAGTAAAGTAGCTGGAAAATGAAAAAGAAGTTCTGACAGAAACCCAGGCTGTTCTGTAAAGGATGCTGATGAGAACATAGTAAAGGAGATATCATGTGGATAAAGCAGTCAAGAATGATTACCATGAGAAAGACATAAAACTTTTCTTATGGGAATAAAAAAGCTATTTTACAAAACATATATATTTGAAAAGATATGTACGTTCATGACTTCTACAAGACATAACTCACCATCAACAAAACAGAAACAACTTACTAAATGGTAGAAGACACTCCCCAATGATACATATGATGGGTTAAAATTCAAAATATACTAGAGGCCCAATACACAAAATTCGTACAAGGGGCTCGGCCCTCACAGCTGCCAGGGCTTGCCTTGGGTTTTGCATCCCTGGCCTTATCCAGAAGGTCGTCAGGGAGGACATCCAGAAGGTTGTTTGGATGTCTGGTCTAATTAGGGTATTATGCTTTTATTATTATTATAGATAAGGAACTCATATAACGTAACACCAAAAAAAAAAAAAATCCCAAATAATCAAATTAAAAAATGGGCAGAGGACCTGGATAGACATTTCTCCCAAGAGGACATACAGATGACCATCAGACATTTGAAAAGATACTCAAGATCACTAATCATTAGAGAACTGCAAATAAAAAACACAATGAGATATCACCTCACACTTGTTAAAATGCCTATCATCAATAAAGCAATAAAAAACAAGTGTTGGTGAGGATGTAGAGAAAAGGAAACTCGCATGCACTATTAATGGGATTGTAAACTGGTGCTATAGAAAACTATATGGAGGTTCCTCAAAAAATTAAAAACAGAATTACCATATGACCCAGCAATTCAACTTCTGGGTATTTATCTAAAGAAATTCAAAACACTAATTTGAAAAGATATATGTACCTCTATGTTCACTGCAGCATTATTTACAATAGCCAAGATATGAAAGCAACCTAAGTGTCCATTGATAAATGAATCGATAAAGAAGTTATGGTGGCTACATACAATGGCATATTACTCAGCTAAAAAGAGAATATAATCTTGCCATTTGTGGCAACATAGATGGATTCATATAATATTATGATAAGTGAAATGAATCAGAGAAAGACAAATATCTTATTATATCACTTATATGTGGAACCTAAAATACAACATAAATGAACAAACAAAACAGAAACAAACTCCTAGATACAGAGAACAGGTTGATGATCACGATATGGGGGTTGGGGGTAGGAAAACTGGTGGAAAAGGTGAAAGGGATTAAGAAGTACAAATTGGCCCTAGCCAGTATGGCTCAGTGGATAGAGCATCGGCCTGTGGACCAAAGGGTGTCGGGTTCGATTCCACTCAAGGGCAAGTCCCTTGATTGCAGGCTGCTCTCAGGCCCTGGCCCTGGTAGGGGCTCATGCAGGAAGCAACCAATCGATGTATTTCTCTCACATCGATGTTTCTCTCTGTCTTTCCCTCTCTCTTCCACACTCTCTAAAAGTCAATGGAAAAATATCCTTGGGTGAAGATAACAACAACAACAAAAAAGAAGTACAAATTGCCAATTGTAAAAATAGTCACAGAAAAAAAAAGTCACAGGGATGTAATGTACAACGTAGGGAATATAGTTAATAAGACTGAAATAATTCTGTATGGTATCAGATGGATCCTAGATTTATTGGGGTGATCACTTCATAAGGTGATCACTCTGTAATTTATATTAATATAAATTAATATAAATGTCTAATCACTATGTTGCACACCTGAAACTAATATACTATTATATGTCAATTGCAATTGAAAAATAAATTTAAAAAAATAAAAGAATGAGACTACTCAAAAAGAGACATCTCTTGCATAATAATATTTAGACATTACTGACTATTGAAGAAAGATAGACTTAATCAGATATGAGGTACCTTCCTATCCCACTACTACTCCCTGCCCTGAACTCAAGGCAACTAAGCAGGTTAGGACCACATGTTACCACCTTCACACTCACCCTCAAAATATCCATCCCCGTGGGAGTGTCCTTCACTGCCCAGCTATCATTCCCTCTGAAGATTAGTTTGAACAAGAAATGCAGAAACCACATCAGGGAGAGTAGGTCCACTCAGGGTTAAGGAGGTCATTTTCCCTATATACACAATAATAAACAGAGAACTGTGATCTTCAGAGAGAAACAGAAGCTCAGAGAGGAGTCAGTGCAAAGAATATGTGGCCTGAAAGGGATCAAAAAAAGACGGGAGAGAGAGAGAGAGAGAGAGAGAGAGAGAGAGAGAGAGAGAGAGAGAGAGAGAGAGAGAGAGAGAATGAATAGCTGCCTCAGTCCCAATCCACTATGCCTGTTTCTACTGCAGTTTATTCCCATAAAGGCAAGTTACACATCACACGAAATGCTCCTAAATCCCTTTAATAAACCACCTGCATGTGAGATAAGTGAATGCATTTTCTTTCCTAGCAACTAAGTAATTTTGCCTAAAAAACATGGCTCCTTTTCTGATCCTTCCAATGAAATTTAGAAAACTTTCCATACAAAGCTATGGATAATTTAAATGTCCAGCTACAATGCTATCAATCTTATCATGAGGAGAAGGAAGGTGACATGGCAAATGCACTGAATTTTACTTATGGAAAAGGATGAGCTTATTACAGTACTTTTCTTCAATCTGTGGAAAAGTAACTAAAACAGACGGTTCTTTGAATTTTTCTTCAAATGCTTCTATTCTATGCTTCATAACAAAAATAAATATTCCTTCCATGAAAGAAAGGATCAGTAAATTATTATTTTTACCACCATACCCAGGCTCCCAATTTCCCCAAATCAGTCTCTGAGCTTGGGCTCACCCCTTATGTCACCTCAATTCTCTAAAGAAAACATTCCTCCTCTCCAAACTGCACTGGAAATCAGATATATCAGATAACAAATGTAATCATATCTCATATATATTCGAGCCTAGCTAATAGCCTACAACCATGGAGGGTGGACAATCTGACCCTCCTGAGCCTCCAGGCCTGGACAGTGGTCCTGCTGGCCTCTCAGCCCTGGTGCAGCTGCCAATTCTCTCTCTCTACTCAGATTTCATGTGACACCCAGTTAAGTCCCTTTCAGGATGCTCTTTTCAACCCCCTTCAGCCCTTTCTGCTAGGTCTGGCCTAATTCCAATCCCACAGGTCAACAAACAAGCTGATCTGGGCCACCAATGACTAGCCAGAGAGCCCCACTCTCATCCCTCCCTTCCTATCTCTGCCTCTTTATCTGCCTCCCTCTGATGCCCTAAACCTGTAAATTCCCCAGGTGAGCAGAGCAGCTCTTAACAATAGAGGAATGGAAAGATCAGGAAAAAGAGACTGTAAGTGGCTTGAGGACAGACTCTATGTCTGTGTTGCTCATATTGTCCCCTCAGAAGCTGGGCTGGGAGACAGCACGAGGACGTACTTAGAAAATACTGATGAACAAATGAGCTACAAGGACGGCGGGATAGTAGTCACTCTGCCTGCACCCAAGTACGTACTGCCCATTCTCTCAGAAGTGAAGCCTCCCAAAAAGACACAGACTCGCTATTTCATCACTCTAAACCTCATCCAGCTTCAAACATTACAGGAAACTGACATCATTTCTTTAAAAAATAAAAAGTAGATGAGACTAATCCATTTCACATACTGAGGTATCTTTCTGTAAAAAGCTCTTCTAAATGTTATTCTAGGGTTCTTTAAAATTGTCATTTATTTTCTATGACAATTCTTACAGGAAGGTTATAGGCATGTAAGTTTAATGTTAATAAATCAATATCCATCAAAAATCATGATATTATGGTTTATGTTATTAAATCATCATAAAAAAACATAAAATATGAACTTACATGTTTGGACAAGTTGGGGCTCTTTGAATCAACATCGTACCTAAAAGATTAAAATGGGAAACTCAAATTATTTCCATAACACACAACTAGAGAAAAATATCAGCGTTTTTTAAAAAACATAAATAATATAGAAAGCATTCAAAATTATATCAGTGGGGAGAGAAATTTTTACTTCTACAACCTAAGTAGGAGTCCTAATATTTCAGTCATCAATTTTGCTGCTTGAAAATACAAGTTTAAAACTTCTCTTTCCTGCAAAGCAAATAGTGTTCTAATACTATTCAAAATTCCCCCAAAACTGCAATTCCTCTTCTCTGGATCATTAAAAAAGAAGCAGAGAGGCTGATAACAGGGTGCCATTTGTTTTTTGGGGGTTTTGTTTGTTTTTGTTTTATTTTTTTAAATCTATTTTTAAAGATTTGGACAGGGAGAGAGAGATAGAAACATCAAGATCAGAGAGAATCATTGACTGGCTGCCTCCTGCACACCCACTACTGGGGATCAAGCCCGCAACCCAGGCATGTGCCCTTGACAGGAGTCGAACCCAGGACCCTTCACTCCACAGTCCAATGCTCTATCTACTGAGCCAAACCAGGTAGGGCACAGGCTGTCATTTGCATGCATTTTAATTCTTATTTAATATCTTAAAAGCTGTTGTTAACTTGGAAAGTTGGCTAAAGTAAGGAGACATTATTTTTCCCCAATCACAGAACTTGGAGAAAACATGTATGTTATAATAAGAAAAATGTTTTTCTACAGGATTACTATATGTCCTGTTTAGACTAGTTGTACTGAAATAAATGATTTCTTGAAGAGATACCGGGAAGACATCATTCACTACCACTTTGGCCCCTCTTCTTAAAGAATTTGTAGAAATGGTAAAATCACTGATAGTCAAAACAACCAGAATTTGCCAAATTCTTGAATAGGAAAATATTTGTACTCGTTCCAGTCTTCCTCCCAAACCATATTCCTTGCACATCCCTTATGCATAACTTCCTACAAAAAATTAACTGCCTTTTTTTAAGGTTAATTAAAGTCTTCCCTCACACAAAGCAAGAATGTTCTCACAAAGAAACAAAGCATCTCAATCAATGAAAGGCCAAGAATGGGAGTTCACCGAGTGCACTGATGCAGGACAGAGGTGCACTTAACCCCTCGTCGAGACCGTTTACCACAGATTGGCTTTACAATGACGTGATGCAAATACCAGCCTCAGAAGAATTACACACCCCTGTCCTCCCAAACAGGGTGCGCTGGGCACTCGCAACAGCTGGAACCTAGAATTTTACATCAGCAAATGGCCAGCATCTATTGAAGACCAGCAGATGTTAGTACAAAAAGTACTTCTTACTCAAGACATTGTTCTTATTCAAGGCTTTTTTTTTTTTTTTTTAAGGCTAAGACTGAAATTAGCAACTGTAGTAACATCAAAGGTGAAACATAGCTACACTGGCTCCTTCCCAAGACTCAGTCCTTGAAACTGGTTTCTATAAAGGCTTTAGTGTGGACTGGGGAGACACTACATGGTGTGATCTGCTACAGGAAGCAAAAAGAAAGGCGTTTAGGTTTTCATGACAAAGATTTACCTTCAAATACAACCCTCTCCCATAGTCTTCAGCAAAGCTTTTTAAATGCTATTTTCTCAAAATGGGTAATTGACAGCATATCTCTAAAGGCTTCAGATATGTTGAATTATAATGCATTCCAAATGACAGTGATTTTTCCATCAATGGAATTTTCTTTCTAACATTTCTAAAAATATCAAGACTAACTGTGGTTCTCACCCTCACAAGTCAGAACATAAACACTACATCCTAATGGTTACAGAGTGTGTGTGTGGTCGTGGTGGTGGTGGGGGGTTATGAATGCCATACTCTGCTTAAGAGAGGATACATTGCAAAGCAGGAAGCTCCGTAGTTTACCCTGAGGACTGTGCACCCCGCTGTGCCTAAATTTACTAAGGGGAATTTTGTAAGCAACTTCATCTAGCTACCGAAATCCTATTATCAGAGTACCTGATTGGCAGTAACTGCTTTGGATGGATCCTAAGGGCTGTTTTCTATTACACTGTGGCAGATGTTGACTGGAATGATTCCTGTATTCTAAAATTCCTACTAAGGTCCAAAGCTGAAAACAAAAGAAGCCAAGTATCATGCTTAGCTTGGAGCTGCCACTGGATGAGTCAGACCCTTCTCCAGGAAGCTTGCTCATAAAGTGACAGCCTATTCCCATAAAGGGAGGGCAGGAGGCGCTTCATTCACTGCCCAAAGCCAAGGGAAGGGAAGCTCCAAAACCTGGGCTGCTCCTCAGAAGGGGAGGACAGCATCTGGTTCCCTGGACAGTTAGAGATTGAACCTGCCTGCAGGTCTACCCTGCAGCTGCCAGGGGAAGAGAATGTCAGTTCAGCCCCAGGAAATGCCTGCTGAGAGCTGAGGAACAAGGAACAATGGTCTATTTAGTTCCTCCTCCATGATGAGGAAGACAAGTGCTTAACACAGGTCCCTGGAGGTTGGTACCCTCTACTGTTTGAAATGAATAAAACTAAAAAAAAAAAAAAAAAAGACCGTACCCTTTTATGTAATGATGTTTACTTTGAATTTATATTAGTTCACACAAACACTCCATCCATGCTTTTGTTCCGGCCCTCCAGGTCCAGTTTAAGAACCCATTGTGGCCCTCGAGTCAAAAAGTTTGCCCACCCCTGGAGATTTTTCAAGAGGTAGGAGAGCCACATCTTTGCCTCCCACTCCCCTACCTTTCTGCTCGTCCACCTCCCTTTTCTCCTACAAGTAGCTGAGAGGGTAGCTCCAATGGAGAAGAGAGGTTGTGAATTAAGTTTGAGATGAAAGTTTTAAAGTAAAGAGTGCTTAACGATTCAAAGTAAGATGGTTCTTGCCCTAACCAATTTGGCTCAAGGGTCCCAGGTTCCATTCCGGTCAAGGGTATGTACCTTGGCTGCGGGCACATCCCCAGTAAGGGTAGTGCAGGAGGCAGCTGATTAATGTTTCTCACTCATCGATGTTTCTAACTCTCTATCCCTCTCCCTTCCTCTCTGTAAAAAATCAATAAAATATATATTTTTTTAAAAAAAGTAAGATGGTTCTAATAAAGTCACTCAAAAGTCATGAATTTAGAATATTAAATAAAGGAGCCATTAACCAATAGGGAAAACTGGAATTGACAGATTTGGGACAGTTATTGTAAAACTTAAAACAATTTTTTTTGGTATTGGTGTAACAAGAAACTTTCACTTTTTCAATGCCTATATTATTTAAAGTTTATAATAAATATGTTTAACTTCTAAATGAGAGAAAACAATACAGATGAATGAGAAAGAAGAAAGAGAGAAAGGGAAATAAAGAGAGAAACAAAGACTTATGAAATAGTGGCTGTTTTTTGGATAAAGTTAAGTCTAAAATAGAGGAGAAAATTAAGGGGGTACCATGCTGATGTAAGAAAAAAGGAAAATGGATTTTAAAAATTACTCTGAAGGCCCTGAACAATGGGAAAATCAAACTGCATTCGACCTGATTTATATGTTCTTAAATAACAACACTATATGCAATCTCCATGATAAACATGGTCAGGAAATCATGACATTCCACTAAGTATACTTCATTGTTTTCAGCTATTCAAAATAAGGTTGGTCTCTTTAAATACACATGATGTTCATAAACTCTCTTTAATTATTTCAATATTTTAAGCACATATTATAATATGACATACTTTTCCTTCTCAATACATTTCCTTTTAACAAAATCCAGGAAGTTCAACAATCACCACAGTTTATCTCTGTGGAACAAAAACTCAATGATACTATCTTACAAGCAGACTGACTCCAGATTCTCTGTGAATAGGGAGTTGATGTTAACAATAGTATTTTAATATGGCTGATACAGTATCAAAAATCACAGGAATATTGAAAATACCAAAATTATCAAGCATCCCGGGCCTTGGAAATATAAGGCCATGATGTGATAAAAAGAAACCATAGTTAGGCAGGGATGCATGTACTATATAAAGAGGCAGCTGAAAGAAACTTAAAGATCTGAGAGACATCCCCCATGGGTAGACGAGATCACTGTGGAGTACAGGCAGAACTTGCAAGATTAAGGCATAGGACAGTTTGAAAGAATGTCCATATATACTGCTCAGCATTTCTGCATGGTTAAATTGTTCACTTACTATTTCAACAGACATACAACCAAAAACCTGTAAAATGCACAGCAGTACTATGGCAATGCTCAGCTCACATGCTAAATAAAATTAATCTAGTTTCCTGACAATATAATCTAGTATTCAGTGCAACCATAGGACCCAGCCTTAAGTTATTAAAATTGCCTTTAAATATTAATTCTTTTAAATGCAAGTTTTAGTAGAACTTACAAGTCAAAACGAAGATTCTCTCTTTCTTCAAAAAAGTAGTCCAGAATAAATTTTCTTACAAAATCCGGGTTGAGTGTATTATCAATTACTTCAGTCCTTCCAAACTGTTGAGGGAGAGAGAGGTTAAATCAAGCCTTGCGTTACTTTTATAGTATCAACTTAGTATTAACATAGTTCCTTGAAAATATAAACAACAAATATCCAAGTGATTTGATAAAATAAAGCCCTTCAGAAAGGTTTTAGAGATCAAATCATTCCCTCTTATTTATGGGAATCAGAACAGGAGCACTGAGTTCATTCAAATTACTAGAAAAGCAGCTTCTGAAAATTCATATAAAAGGCTTCCCCTTTGCTCCCCATCTGAACGCCAAATCCCTTTCTAATCAAAAAAAGTTATTTCTATCTTAATTTAAATTCATCACATATATTTTGCCTAACCTAGTGCATAACTCATCTAAGCAACACATATTCTTACACTTGGAGGAGTCAAAGTATTCATAATCAAGCAGTCCTCTGCACTAGTGGTCGCCAACCTTCGGACCTCACAGAGGTGACAACGGCTCAGCCCCGGCTGATGAGCAGGAGTGGGGGGAGAGAAGTGATTGGATTCTTATACCTGGAGGTAGAGCCAACGGGATGTAGGTGTGAGAGAGGAGGTGAGGGTATAGCCAGGATATGTAGGCACTGGCCCAGAGAGCACTAGTGGTCCGCGGACCACCGGCTGGCAACCGCTGCTCTACACAATACAGTGATTAGCCATGTTTTGGGCAGAAGTTTTTTATACTCTATTATACACTTTAATCACTTGGTTTTTGTTTTGTTTTCATTCTTATGGTACCTAGACAGCCAACACGGAATCTATGATTCTTTACACATTTTAAGCTAGTACATTGCATTTTTACTCAGAAAAAATAAGTTTCCCCAACTTAGGGGATGTGAAGCCAAGAAACAAAACTCCACATCTAGACTTCCCTCCTTTCCTTTCAATGTGAAGGAAGGCCACCAGCACTGCCTCCTAAGATCAAGCAGACACTTTTTATCTCTTTTTTGTATTAGGCTCACATTCTTACCCTCCTGTTGTCATGGAATTCTAATGAGGGAATTTGAACCTCTGGTTCTGAACAGCATTATGCATGCTGTCTTATCAGAGAACCAACTTTTATTCAAGTTCAAGGAAAAACTATCCTTTTAATAGGAACAAAAGAACTGTGCTAATCCACTAAAAAGTGAAGGTCATGAGCTTACATAAATTTTGATAATGAAACGATGGTACAAAATACCAATGACAAAGGACTTACTATGGCTATTGCTAATTATCCAAATAAGAACTAGTTTGCAGAGGCTTATGCACTGGGCAATGTTTTAAATCATGGACAAATATCATATAGATAAACCATAACCAAGGTAACTAATTCAACATTTCCAAAATACTGAGCATTTACTTTGAACAATAATAATGATGACAGCCACTACTGAGTACTTACTTGGTTCTAAGCACTTTTCACACATTACTTTAAATTTTTATCATAACCCTGAATAGTGAGTAATGTTTGTCCCACTTTAAAGATTACAGAATTCAAGCAGAGGGTCCCGACCTAAGTCACTGTGGCTACTAAATCTACATTCTCTCTAGGTCTCTCCTCTATTTCAGCATAGAGCATGCTACCTGAAAAGCCTCCACAATGAGCTTATCCATGGTCCCCACTTTCAGGGAATGGGAACAAGAACGGGTACCTAATAACCCCAGGCAGGCAGTGCAGAGGTCAAGGAGTGCAAATCTGAACCAGAGACAGCCTGAGCCCTCCCAGCCTTCCTACCGACTGAGGGCAAAATGGATTCCAGGCCAGAGCATCAAATGGGCAAATACACAATAGTCTCAAAGAGACACTCAGCCAGTATTCATATTCCCCAGCGCCCAAATCCTTCTTGTGGATTTCAACCCGCACCCGCACTCAGTGGTAAGAAGATAACGTACAATTCCAAAGGGTAAACCCCATTGAATTGCAAGCCAGCGATTCCCAAGGGCCACTGAACCATTAAAACATCCACCCGCCTGTTTCTTAGGGAACATTGGCTTGTCAGCAATATGGGTGACTGAGCATATTCTACTATCTCAAGTGAAGATTAATATGTAGCCATTAAAATTTTAGCTAATCTCCTATAAATTATTAACATCTATTACTATAAGCCTCTAACACATAGCTCTGAAATTGCTTTTGATGATATCACCAATAACCTTCATATTGCTAAATCCAGTGGTCACTTTTGGGGCCTCCTCCCACTAGACGGCTCAGCAGCATTTGACACAGCTGTCCACTCCTTCCTTTCTGAAGCCAGCTTTTCTGGCTTTTTGACAGCACACTACCCTGTTTTCCCCCTCTTAGATTCTCAGTGCAATCTCTCCTTGTCAAAGCACAGTTCTTGGACCTCTTCATCTCTCTTTCTTCTCTCTTCAATTAGGTTATTTTATCTGCTCCATTGACTTTAAATCCCATCTACATGATAACTTCCAAATGTGTATCACTAGCCCAGACTCAACCTGAGTATAGTAGACTTATGCATACAACTGTCTGCTTAACTTACACATTCAGCTGTCTTACAGGCCCTTCAGAATTATCATCTAAACTTAAACGTTTATTGTAAACCACAACCACCACTCCAATGCTGGTGCTTACCAAATCTACCCTTTGTCAATAAATGACACCACTATCTACTTGATTCCACAGATAAATGGGAGTCATCCTCCTCAACTCCTCTTCATCACAATCTCAGAAATTGTCAATTCCAACTCTAAAACACATCTTCGAGCTCTTTACTTCTCTCCATAGCTCCTGTCATTAGATTAATTCAAGCTTTCATCTTTCTCATGATCACTTCAAGGGCCTCCTAACTCACATCTCTCTTTATTCTTTTTCTCTCTCCAACTCATCCTCCGTATAACATCCAGAGTAATCTTCTAAAAAATAAAAGCACAGAAATGCAATTTCATCACTCTAAAAGTCTTTATTGGCTTCCCATGGTACTTGACATAAATATTTTCTTTTGTCTACAGGGCCTGGGCCCATCTACCTCTTGACCTTCATCATGGGCCAGTATCCCCTCTTTTCGCTTTGCCCAGCCGGCTGGTCTTCCTTTAGGTCCCCTTGCACACCAAATCCTTTCCATCTTATGGCCTTTGCACCTGCTCTGTCTTCTTCCTAGGATTCTCTTAACCCCACTCTTGCATTGCGGACTTTCTTTTCATCCTTTAAGCCTCTGTTTAAATGTCAGCATTCTGGCTCTATATGACACCCACTTTAAAGTTGGTCCCTTCCTCTAAACTTATTCTCCTTATGGAACCTGGTTTTTTTCTTCCATAAAACTTATACTTTGGAATTATAGTTTTATTTGTTTGCTTGTTTTATATTTCCCTCACTAGACAATTGAGCTCCATGAAGACACAGAACGTACACATATTTGATTTACACCTGTACAAAATTGAACAAATGTTTAACTAAAGGAAATATGCAACCTATTGTTCAGAGAAAAAAAATCAATGTATAGTATATCAATTTTTATAAAAATATAAGTTTATATGTATACAGATAAAAAGAGAAGGTATACTAGAATGTAGATATTACCTTCGAATTATTTTTTATTATGTATTTCTGGGTTTTCCTAATGTCTTACAGTGAGTATGATTTACTTTTAAAATCAGAAACATAAACCTTTTAAGCACTGCTCCTGTTCCTCCGATATATTATGATTAGTTCAGCTCATGGGAAATATGTTGGTTCCTTCCCAGAGGCTGGAATTATATTAGCTACCCACCAAGTGATTAATCCTTATGACTTGAAATAAAATTTGTCTTAGCTAATGCCTTATATTACTAAATAAAACTTTTCTAATTGCTAGAAAAATGTAGTTACATACAATGCTATGCAGTTCCGAGGGGGGTTAGAATTTTGCAGAAAGACAAGTATTAATAACATTTATGATGGCACACATCTAAAAACAGCTACATTTGAAAGAATTGTAACTTATATCCTCAGAAGTCTTTTTCTGAATATCAATAATACTGGATTGTCAGAGGTACCTGCAAACCTGATTATAATAATCTCTGGCACAATGACCTTATCCGAATATGTGGACATCAAGCACTTTAACATAATTGTACAGTAGTAAGTTTCATCATCTCACAATTCAAACAATTGTTAGAGAAATGTTCTTTTGGTCACCAAGAGTGAAAGTTTTCAGTCATTTGGAAAAAAAAATATATACACTGTTATTTTTGAGAACACAAAACACTGTTTCTTGTAAAACTTTAAGCAAAATTAAAAAACAATTCGCAATCAAGACTTTGAAAATTTTCCTTTGTTTTGTGCTTGAGCTAATTGGATAAATATGTACTTTTCCAATTTAGGAACAAATCGTGTAGAAAATGATGGAATAGAAATATTCCTGATTTTTAAATGAACTAATTGTTAGACTGTTTCAGAGGAGCAGTACTGGGAAGAACATTCATCTATTTATGGCACAAAGCAGATGAACTCTTGTTTTGAGAAAAATGTTCAGAAATGTTTAACATATTGTGAAGGCCCAGAACAACCACCCGGTGTCATATTCATTTTTCAACTAAAGTAAAAATGATGAAGTTAAAAGGTCACCTGGACCAGCACACATCTTTAATTCAGTTGTTACATTAGAATTAAATCTTAGTAGTGGTGATAGAGAGGACAGTCGCCAGAGATCAGACTAGAGGATTAGATAAACTGAGTAGTGCAGACATATTATTGAGATAAATTCAAGAAAAAGAACCTCAGTTTAGGACTATACATATTTAACCTGCATAGAAGATACCAAGTGGAAATGCATGTACTAGTGTATGAACACAAACCAGAAATTGAAGATTTACATTCTTATACAATTCCTCTTGAATGTTAAACACCGGGATTACCAGAGAATCCATGAACCTTTTTTTCTAAGGGAAAGAAATATAGTTTTGTCATGTAACTCATTATCCAAGACCTTTTTCTTTGGCATAAATTAATAATCTTAAACTCAATTATAAGAATTCAAGAGGAAGGAACACTCCCAACCTCATTTTATGAAACCAGCATTACCC